CCATCTTTGCCGAGTTCCCCGCTCGGCAAAGACAGCCAATAGGTGGCCGACACGTGTCAGCTCCTAACACGTGGGACCAGGCGAACAGGCCGAGGGCCATCTTTGCCGAGTGCCCCTCTCGGCACAGCCAGCCAGTAGGTGTCCGACACGTGTCAGCTCCTGACACATGGGACCAGGCGAACAGGCTGAGGGCCATCTTTGCCGAGTGCCACTCTCGGCAAAGAGTGCCACCTTTGCTGAGGGTGGCTCTCGGCAAACGCTATGTTTGCCGAGTGTGACTCCCGGCAAACTCAGCCAATAGGGGAGGGCCACGTCACTTCTCCTAAAAGCCGTGATTTTTTTTTGCCGGGAGCCACCGTCGGCAATTCTTTTTCCTTTACCGAGAGCCCTCTCGGTAAAGTTGCCAGGAGGGCTACAGGTTATTATCCTTTACCGAGAGGCCTCTCGGTAAAGGTGCCAGGAGGACTACAGGTTGTTATCCTTTACCGAGGGCCCTCTCGGTAAAGGGTGCGTTCTGGTCTAGTTTCACAGTCATTGCCGAGGGCCGCCCTCGGCAATGGTGTGCCCAGGAGCCTTTTTTTTCCTGTTTCTGTTTCTTTCCTGCAGCGAAACATATACAGCAGCAGCATATAGTTCTATCACACATAGAACATGTCACATATAGGAATCATTGAAAAAAGAAGCAATGATTGATTCTGAAAAACATTCCACATAAAAGCAATAGTGCATCAAAGCAATAGACCACAAGTTTACAAGTCTCAAGATGCAAGAGTTCTCAATATACAAGGAACAGTTTCAAACATAACATGAAGTTCACACGATTTTGGAGATCGGAGTGATAACATCGACATTAGAAGGCATCATTCCGTTTGCTGCCCCAACTCCATCAACCGGAGTGATAACATCAACATTAGAAGGCATCATTCCCTTTGTTGCCCCAACTCCACCAACTTGAGGTGGAACTACCAGAACATTGTTCGACCCTTGTGATGGGTTGAGCTGTGATGGATTGACGCAATAGTGAGATGAATGCATATGGTAATGCCGAAAATGGTGACAGAAATAGTTTGAACAAAACTCACAATGTTCCACTCTGGCGTCGGTGGCATCTCTGGCACTGGTTGGCCTTGTATGGAATAAAGATTGGCCACCATATGTTGTAAAGACTTCACTAGATCATCTTGTGCCTTCAGCTTGGCCCGGTTTTCATCTCGTTCTTTCTCAGTGTCAATCAGTCGAGTCTACAATATGGCAATGCAAATGTCATTCATGTTGGAATGCAAATATCCTCAATAATGAAGAAGGATCAATGAAGAAAGACCATGAAGGATCAATGAAGAAGCATTGACCTGAATATCCTCAATAATGCTCACGGAATGTGGTACGTGACGCTCTACAGTAGGAGTAGAGCCGGTACTCATAGCACGAAGCGTGTTGACTCTCGGAAGGTAGGAGGTTATGACAGAATCAAGGTGAACCGCCATCCGGCCATTCGGTCTACCGCCTGCCGCTGCAATGGCCACAAGAGGGTCAAACGGTAGCACGTGAGGATCAGCGTCAGGCACGTACGTCTCCTCCAATTTTTTGGTGTAGTTCTCTCCATCTGACCGGGCTTTAGAGCTGATCCAGTCCCTCTCCGGGTGGAGAGGGTCCTTGTCCTTGTCGTCTACGTTTGATGGCCCATGCCTCGA